TTGTACCAAGCTAACAAGCTACCTCTGAAAGCTTTTATCCCCCTTTAATAACTCTTTATTGAATTAATTTGGTTTTTAATCCTAAGAACAAACTGCCCAGGTCAGAGAGAACAGAAGGAAACTCAGGGAGCTGTTGTGACTGACTCACAACAAACCTGTGAGGGCTGCATGATTAGGGGGAATGAGGGTCAGGTGTGCAGACAGGTAATGCTCAAGTGACTGCTGAACAGGATGTTCATGGAAAATGGGGAGTAAAAATGTTAATTTTATGTGCAAATTGAGAAAATGTGCAAAATATTTCATCTAGAAATGCACAATAAACTAATCACTGCTTAATTTTACATGTAAAGCCTGTGATTAATGGTAATAATATGTGCTCTACTTCCACTGTAACCAGCAAACTTTATCTTATGATGACAGAGTAAACTTAATACTTTCCCTTAATTGTGTGATTTGTTTTCAGCCCAGTGTTTTCATGCCACAGAGAATAATTTAGGCCAATAGTTTGGTCCTTTCTCATGATCCTTTCCCAGTGTTCTTTAAGTGTTTTGGAGGGGCGTCAGTGAGGTGGGGTTGGAGGGTGCACAGGAAGGAAAAGGAGTAGCTGGGAAATCTCATCGAGGCTCCTCGGCTGAACAAGAGACACCCCAGTCAGGATCTGGGCGTTGCTGCCAAGTCATCTCAGGGTCGCAGACTCCAGCGCTTCACGTTTGGGTGAAGGGGGCACAAACACATCACGTGGAACACATTCTAACTTTTACAGACATTTACACAAACTACATCAGGGTTACAGTAAAACTTTAAAGTGTAAAAGCAAGCAGGAGGAGGTGAAAAGAAGAGAAAGAGGAGAAATTAGCCTCTGGGCTCATATATTTCCTCAGGAAATGAGAAATGACTTCTTCCTCTCTGAAATGAGCAGGAGGCTAAATAAAGCTGAGCAGCCTTTTTCTGTAAACCAGCACCCCCACATGTCCTTTTGTAATAATAACAACAACAACATTCATATATCATCACATAGCCATGAGATTTTGGTCCTTATTAGCATGATAGCAGATTTGTCAGCTGCACATCCATGATGTGAATCTCCTGTTCCACCACATCCCAAAGGTGCTCCATGGGATTGAGATCTGGTGACTGTGGAGGCCATTGGGGTACAGTGAACTCATTGTCATGTTCAAGAAACCAGTTTGAGATGATCTGAGCTTTGTGACATGGTGCGTTATCCTGCTGGAAGTAGCCATTAGAAGGTGGGTACACTGTGGTCATAAAGGGATGGACACGGTCAGCAACAATACTCAGGTAGGCTGTGGCATTTAAACGGTGCTCAGTTGGTACTAAGGGGCCCAAAGTGTGCCAAGAAAATATCCCCCACACCATTACACCACCACCACCAGCCTGAACCGTTGATACAAGGCAGGATGAATCCATGCTTTCATGTTGTTTACACCAGATTCTGACCCTACCATATGAATGTTGCAGCAGACATCCAGAACTGCCGCTCACTGGATATTTTCTCTTTTTCGGACCAGCTTCTGTAAACCCTAGAGATGGTTGTGTGTGAAATCCCAGTAGATCAGCAGTTTCTGAAATACTCAGACCAGCCTGTCTGGCACCAACAACCATTCATTCATTCATTCATTTATTCATTCATTCATTCATTTTCTGTTACCGCTTATCCCTGTTTGTGGTTGCGGGGGGGCTGGAGCCTATCCCAGCTGACATTGGACAAGAGGTGGGGTACACCTTGGACAGATTGCCAGACTACCACAGGGCTGACACATAGAGACAGACAACCATGCCACGTTCAAAGTCACTTCAGCAGGTCGTTTTGACCATGTCTACATGCCTAAATGCACTGAGTTGCTGCCAAGTGATTGGCTGATCAGCCATTTGCGTTAACAAGCAGTCGAACAGGTGTACCTAATAAAGTGCCCAGTGAGTGTATTTGTCAATAGTGCAAAGTACATCTCCACTGAAATGTGATTCCATCAGGTCACTCAATTTGTGCATTGTAAAATAGTCTCTTTTTTTGTGTGTGTCTTCTTACATTGTAGGCTGCTGCTTTATGATTGCCCATGTTACTGGATGGCTCTGGTAATCCATGATTTCTGGTTGTGGAATGGTTTAACTGTAGTTTTGGGTACAGCTGCTGCTGTTGTTGTGAATTCATTGATTTTATTGTGACATTGATGGTGGTGTCCTGGAAGATGCTCCAGACTCTGACTGGTTCCATATGTTGTGCCACTGAGGGCATGTGTCATAGTTTGTTTACATATCTCAACCTCAACAAAATGGCTGCATACATGGGGGCATCTCTACCCCTGAACACGCTCTGCAGCTGGCTCTGAATGCAGCACAGCACATTCCCACCGTCACACCAGTCCTTATGCAGTATAAAGTACAAGCCTCCTCTCCTTCTCTTGTCGGAGTCTTCTGCTCTGTCACATCCACACAGAAAAAGAGTCACCTGGTCGAATGCCACCCTCCAGGCTTTATTGAAACAAAGCAGTTCCTGATATCACACTGGAAACTTATGTGGCACGGATGTCGTCTAATTACTAATAATGATATATAATAATATCTAACGCCTGTAGTACATGGGCAACCAAGGTGCTAGTCCAGCTTGTGCCCCTCTTTTCCATCGTTTCCTCGTCGTTTACATTTTAAAACCTTGACCTGGCCAGCTAGCAGAGTTGCAGGAGGAGAGTTTACAGACTGGTGAGCTGATTTCTTCATCTCGTTGAGTGACTTGCAGCCCCACGCCACCACTGTCCAATGCCAACCACAAAAAGCACCACCAGCCCTTGCATCATAGACAGAAGAGCACCAAATTCAGCAGAGCTTATGAAGAGGCGACTAAAACATCTATACCTATACCTATACTTTCTGTGCATTCCAATACCCATACTACCATACTATATAGTATGCCTGAAAAAGATTTTGTATGTCACACAGTATGCCAAAAATACCAGGATGTTCTACTACATCCGGTCCAGTTTTGCAGTATGCAAGCCAGCATGCTTTTCTGGCTATTCTGATCCACAATTCTCTGCACAGCAGACGATATGTCACATTAACTGAGCCACAAACAGATGACATCTTGTTGACAGCTGTCAGAAGCTGCAACGACGACTGACAGCGAATTCAAGTGTGTGATTAGTGTTAGTAATAACAGGAATATTAATTGTTTAAATGAACAAAAGAATTTAAAAAAAATTATAAATGCATATGTAATTTTACTTTGATGAATATGTTAGAATCTACCTCATATGCAGTTATAACTTCCAAGTTGAACTACACACATTGCAAAGTAACAACAGCTGAGCTCTGCAGGTTGACCTCCATCTCTGGTGAGCTCAGTAAACAGCATTTTGTTTTGTTTTCAAACCAAAGAATATGTGGGGAGAGGGTCAAAGTTCAGAGTGTAATGTTATGAGACAGTAGTATGTCCCAATTGTGTGCATACTGCAAGCAACAGTATTTACTTTTTAAGGGCAGCTGCAGTACATATTAAAAATAAAAAGTATACGATGCACCCTTTGTCTTTTAGCAAATGTTAGCATGCTAAAGATTGCATCACTGTAAACTCATGTCTTATTAAAAAAACAAGCTATAAAGTGTTTTATAAGAAGAAAAAAAAGAAGCAAATTCTATTATACAACACAAACCTCATTTGAATGTAATAATATATGAGGTAAGTAGCCAGGGCGATAAAATTGATATGACGAGTGAATGATTAGATTAACCTTTTCTAATGTTTGAGGAGCCTGGTGATGTGATGTTCCGTAAGCATCTGGGATTCTGTGTTTTTTCTTTTTTTTCTTTCTGTGAAGCAGTAAACAATGAAAGCATTATTGAAATCATTTTAACTGGACTCGACATCCAGGAAAAATATGTGGCAAAGCTACACCAGGGAATTTTTGGATTTGCATTTCAAACACAGTTTTAGATGTCAGTACTGTACTGTTGAGCTCGCAGAGAAGTAGGCTACAGTTGAAATTCCTTCATCCAGACTTCTACCTGCTCTGCTCTGTTCAAATTTTCCATGCTCGAAATGAAAATAGCAGCCCTGGCTAAAAATGACCACCTCGACAGATGTGGAGCGAGCTTGGGCTGCAGGAAACGGTGAGAGTGTCACGTCTTTCACCGAGCGAGGAGAGGAGAGGTCGACCCAGATACATGTGCTGCCTGAACTTTGGCTCTTTTTCTTCCTGTAAGGATGCCTTCCTTCTCCCTCTCTCTGCCTTTTTTTTTTCATCTCATTTGATCACACGCCCATGTGCATGCAGCCAGGATGCCTTTTCAAACTGAAATTAGGCTTTCGTGTTGCTTTTGTAAATCAGTAAACTGGATAAGCTCATGTCTGAATTGTAAGCTATTTGTACTGATTTATCATAAAACACAGGTTTACTAGTTTTCAACACCCAGAGTCCCACAGTCCAGCTGAGACTATTTCACCAGGTGAAAGCAGTTAACTGTGATTTGATGGCTCTAAGGAAAGAGCTTTGTCTCCCTCTAGTGGTGAGATACTGTCATGTAATTTCTGAGCTCATTTAAAGGGGAGCTATTATGCTCATTTTCAGGCTCATACATGTATGTAAGGTCTCTACTAGAACATATTTACATGCTTTAAAGGTTAACAAACCCCCACTTTATTTCCCTCCATTGTCTGTGCTGGAACATCTTAATTGACCTGTTATTTTACCACCTGTCTCTCTAAAGTCCCAGACACACCAAATGGACTTCAGAGAACTAGAGGCAACAACAGCCTACTGTTACCTCATGTTGAATATGTCTCAGCCAAGCAGTTGCACATGAACACAACACAAAGACAACAGCTGACGGCCAACTAGAATGTACGTTCTGCTCCTGCGTTAAAGGAAATAACTCTTTATACCAGTAGACAGTGGTAGTCTGTATTTGTCATTCAAAAAGGGAAACCGGTATACTGCCTTGCTGCTAGTTTGCCAGTTAGCACATTAACAACACAATCCAATGTTGAAAGAACAGAGCAAATTTACTGTGCACCAGTGAACGATAACACAAATCATCATGAAATATTTCTGCTGAAGAGCTCAGTGGCTAAAGAATAACACTTGTACCTCATGGAACAGGTTTTTTTTTTTTTTTGGTCTCACCCACTCTTGACTCCAGTCGTCTTCTTGTGTGCTGAGGTGAATTGCCAATCAGAGGGATTTCATTCAACAAGTTTTCAGAACAGTCTGAACCCCTCACTTTCTGCTCACAGGGATTACTTCTACATGTATATGTACCTCTAATATGAACATCCTTCACTGCAACACTATAAAGACACAAAATACGAAAAAGGCATTATAGGTCCCCTTTAAACTCATTTTCATGTGTTTATTCAACTCTTCTGCCTTTGGTTTGTGGGAGAAGCACAGCCATTCCAAAGAAAGACATTTATTCCACATCAATAGTCAACAAACAAACAAATAATTTGCAATTTACAGCCATATGTTGCATTTACAGTTTAAGTTTTAAAGGAGATACAACGGTTTTTCTGTTGAATGATTAAATGAGTTCCTGCACAGAACTTAATAATTTAGGTTCAAGCATGATTTTCATTGTTTATTTTATTAAAATTAAGAACTACAGTCATTGCTATATTAACTCTTGCCCTATCTTGGCCTCTGGATGTGCATTTACTGGAAAAAAGCCAAATGAAAATGCTTTTATTTGCTTTAGTTCTTATGCAATCTGCTCTCAGTTCTCTTTAAACTTTAATATTATTGGCTGTTTTTCCAGTTTATGCAAGTTTACAATCCATCTAAACTCTTTGTTTTTATACATAAATTTCATGTTAGCACCTCAGACTTTATTTTCCACTCACATGCATTTCCCTGTAGAGTACTGGTGCTCCAGATTGTATATTTATTGACAAGGTGAATCAATTACATCAGCGTCCTACTGGTCACACAGCAAGTACACTGTACTTCAACAGGTTACGGGAAATGCAGCCATGTGTAGAAGAACTCATCGATGCTCACAGAAAGAGGAGTCCATTTATTACTATAATTTCTGGTGATGATGTTACTCCTCTAAAAAAAAGGGCGATTTCTGTCCATCTTGTGTTGTTTTATGAAAAGCACACAGGGCCGATGTCCAGGCCGAACTCCTGATCAGGCTTTCCAATGTCCATGGGGGCCACGTCCACGACGGGCAGCCTGGCAGAAGTTTGAGTCCTGTACTCAAGCACTGTCTTGCCCCACTCTCCGTTTGACTTCTAAGGAGATAAAAAGACAAATACCTTAGTAGAAGTGCCTTCTAACAGATTTTTGTCAAATGTAGGTGTCTGGTAATGACTTACCGAGCAGCCATCATCGATGACAGTGTATCGGAGGCGGTTAACGCCTAGTGCTCTCAGCTCCTGGCCATTGAAGCCTTTGAGGACCAGCGCTTTCTTCAGGTTGGTGCTCTTCTCATTTTTATAAGCCACACTGTTCTTGCAGTGGTAGGTGATGTTCTGGTGTGCCTCTTTGGACAAAAGCTGCAGCAGCTTCAGCTGAACCGCCACCGCGTTGGGCTGCTCATCTGCATTTCCGTAGCGGAACTGAAATTAGATTGACATGATTACACACAGGGAATGCTTGATATCAGACTTCTAGACACTCATTTTTATAACATTTTGAATGAAACAAATTGAAAAAACAAAATAAATGTCTCTCAATTTCTTACTTTAGTTCCACTGCTCATGTCTGCTCCAAACCAGATGAGTTTGTCAGCACTGGGACTGGATTTTGTCCACCAGGCTTTGCGAGGAATGGTGGCTGGATTGGCATTGATGCAGGTTTCACCAGTTTCCATATTACAGAAGACCTTGATGGCATCCTTTGTGCTTCCTTGATTTGGATCAATCCAGTACTCACCTGTTTAAAAGTGCAAGGGGACATCAATAGGTTTCATAATGGTCTAAAAACATAATTAGCAGAAAAGACGACAAACAGACCCCTTACCACTCTTTTTGTGAGGGTAGCACTCCTTGATGTTCTGGCAGGATTTGGCAGGGTTCATCTGGCTACCATCAGGACTGCGGAGGTTTTGCAGATGTCCGCTGAGGGTCTTCAGTGTGGCATGGACGCCGGTGTCTGCACGGAGGACAGCTGAGTTTTTGTTGGGAAGGGCTTCATCTTTGTTGATCTCGGGAAGCGGTGGAGGATCAGCAGCTACATCGTCCTCAACAAATTCCACAGCTTCTGGCACAAAACCCTTATCGTAATCATAAGGGGCAGCAAAGAGGTCTTCCACAGCTGCGGTGGGAGGTCCTGGGGGGCCTGGAGGGCCGGGTGGGCCATCGTCACCAGGTGGACCCTGAGAAAGACAAGATACATTTTTTTTTCTCTATTTGATTTTTGTCTTGCAAGTGGTTTACAGAGTATAAGGGTAGCAGTAGCTGTCACTTTTTCAGTGTGTTTCACTTCAATAAAGATAACCTTTACATTTTGGTTGTCTAAAAAATGTCCTGTTCAGCATTTGGTTGTAATAAAAGACCCTCTAAGACAGGGCTATTCAATTACAAATTGAATTTTCAACATACTTTAAAACCAGAAAATATCGATGGGCCAGACATTTTCAGCAGCAGGCAATCTACTGAAAACTTTTTCAAGCTTTTGGTAATCGTAATTCGATAATTCGGTAATTGGTAAAAAAAATAATTTTTAGCCTCACATCTGACCAAGGAACATCACAAAGTTGTATGCAATGCAGACACTAGCTAGCTATCAACGCACAGAAGGATAACAAGTCACATAAACAGTAACTAATAACACACTTTATCTCTCTACCGGCATCTCTCTCATTCCCTCTCCCTTCTCCCTCATTTTCTGATGTTCTCCTTTAGGGTCAAGTGTTTAGGAAGACACACAGGATATAGTTTTATACAGTCTATGACAGCAACAGTCATGTTTACAACAACAAAGTCACTATATAAACTCAGTCATTTCTCACTGGAAACAACCTAACATGTCAATAAAATAAATATTCCTCCTGACATCACAATAGTGAGTTACGTTATATAAGCACATCAGTACCAGCCATTCCTGTTCTCAGTCCCCCCTCTACTGAGGACACTCACTATCTGCAGGTCGGCTGTCTCAGGTACATTTAAGATAGGTAGCAAACTAAGTGACATACAGACAGTTTTCATTTTAGTTTGTTTTTTAACAATTTGTTATTGGTCGCGCTAGCATGATGTGCTTGTGTAAACTGCAACTGTAAACCACAATGGTGCTGAATGAGAGACTGTGGACAGAGCAGACTGAAATATCGCTTTATACATGCTGAACACAAAAACTGAAAAAGCCCTGACTTTCTACAGGCGAACGTTTAATTGCACTAACTTATAGGAACAAGCGTACTTGCTGTCAACTAGAGTAATCTTGTAGTTATATTCCGCCGCCTCTTTGCTGTCGTCTGACTTCACTCTGTCATGTTTGAGTGTGTCTGTGTTTGTGTGGAAGAGGTCAGCCTCAACATGCAGACAGCAGGAGAGAGACTGCAGCGTGATGATACATGAAACCAAAACTTTAAAAAGTAATGGTAAGAGCCGATAACGGCAGAGCTTTTAATACTACAGTCTTGATTAATTTTGCCCAGGGCTGTTTAATACCGGGTCTCAGTACCCATTCCTAGCTGGGCCACTTGGAGGTTGCCTCTGCGCGGGATGTGGCCTGCGGGCTGCTAACTGAATAGGCCTGCTCTAAGGAGTAACATGTTCTTCAGGTAAGTTAATTTTATTTTAACGGTTTTAAGCCTGTTTCTTCTTTGCAAAATTAGCATTAGCATTATCACAGTGAACCAAAGTTGTAAATGCACCATGCTAACCAAGTTAGCATTACTGTTAGCTCCATCCTCTTGTCCAAAATATGGTCACTTCTGGCTCCAAAAATCCACGATGGCCAAGGTCAAAAAGTCTAATTCAAGACTAGTCCACAAACCAATGGGTGACATCACAGTGGCTACAATTATTGTTTTAGACAGTGTATGGATAATACCAATAAGCTGATTATTTGAAATATAAAGAAGATAAAAAGAATCTTGTGTCACCTGGGCCCCGATGTCACCCATGGCACCTCTACTTCCAGGAGCACCCATTGGTCCGGGCTGACCAATGTTTCCTTCCTTTCCTGGGGGACCCACCACTCCTGGAGGACCCTGTGCGGTAAAAGAGTGTGAAATATACACTATTAAATAAGGCAGAACAGCACTTACAATGATCATAGTTTAACTGGATATGATAAACTTACCCTTGGCCCAGCTGGTCCAACAATACCTGTCGCTCCTGGCTCACCTGTAGCACCCTGAAATAGAAAAGAATGACATTTCAATGTCTGACACCTTCAATGTTACTGTGTTTTTAATGTTTCTCTGAAGTAACTATGAACAGTGGCTGAAGTATATAAATGAGTATTTGAAGCTGTTAAAATTAAAAACAATTGCTTACAGTTATTCCTGGCAGACCGTGGAGCCCGGTGAAACCTCTGTGTCCCTTCTGGCCCCTTTCTCCTTGTTCTCCAGGTGCTCCTTTATCTCCTTGTGGTCCTTGAGGGCCCTGAAGTTAAACACACAGTAACAGTTCAACATGTCATTGGAAAACACACTAAAAACAAGCACCTTTTCTAATTACTAAATTTTTGTTTTGTGTATCAGTGAGGTGAAAAATAGTATTTTTATGCTGACCACTTTCCCCCGTACTCCAGGTGCTCCTTGGGGTCCAGGGACGCCTCTGGCACCCTAAACACAAAACAAGCAAGAAGAAATGACAGAACTGACTTTGCAATTAGCATTGAGAGTGCTATCAGTATGTAATTGACATGATATATTAGCACTATCTCTGTTTGTGAAGCTCACGTTTTCGCCTGTTGGTCCAGGACCACCCGTCAGTCCCACAGGACCCTCAGTTCCTGGAGACCCTGGAGTTCCAGCCAGACCCTCAGGACCAGTATTACCCTTGTCTCCCTGGAAACACATGAACACACACCAGTGATTAGCACACATAGCCATTCACATGGTACCATTAGTAAATCCAGTCCACTGCTTAAATAAAAGCAAAAACACACGATGTATGGGATCTTACCCTTTCTCCAACAAGGCCGTCTGTCCCAGGAGGTCCCTCTGCTCCAGCAATACCCTGAGGAAACACAAATTATGACATAAAAATAAAAAATATTAAAATCATTTTTGTTTGTAGTTAGACCTACCTGTCTTTTCACAAATATTTGCTTGCTTTGAAGAAAACTTTCACCTCGTTTAAAGGTTGCTGCTGTATAAAGTCTACGAAACTCGTAAAGATATTTTGGACGCTGATTCATACATAGTATTATTTGATGACAGCAATACCAAACTTTAAATACTTAGACAGCCAGTGGTGGACTTAGGCTATCTGAGGGGCAGAGAAGAAAATAACAAGGGTACCAGCTTGTAGAAAGCATACAGAGAAGCCTTTATGGATTGCATCATGTTTTCTTAATTTTAAGACCACCTTGGGAGACACTTTATCAGTAATTTATTTGGCACATGAAGTCATACAAGGCACATCTCCAGTGAAATGCAATCCTTTCAGCTCCTTTAACTTGTGCCGTGTAATTCTTACATTGATGGCTGCTGCTTTATACTCTATACTAACTATGTTTCCGGATGGTTCTGGTAATCCATTCTGGCTGTGGGATGATTTAACTGTAGTTTTGGGTACAGTTGCCTCTGTTTCACAAATTAAATCCACCACAGACTCAACGGTTATTGGTGACATCAACAGTGTCCTGGAATGGGCTCCAGACTCTAATTGGCTCCGTCTCTCATGTCACTGGGTGCATGTGTCATAGTTTGCTTGCATGTTTTGATCTTGACATGATGGCTGCATGGTCGTCCCCCGCCTCAAATGAGGGCAATGACTTTGCTCTGCAGCCTCCTCTGAATGGTGTACAGTGATGATCCAGAGTGTTTATTTCCCCTGTGGCATGAGGAGGGCAGGAATAGGACAGCAACTCATATTTCCACTGTCACGCCAGTCCGTATTCATTGTAAAACACATGCCTTGTCCCTTTTTCTCAACAGAATCCTCTGATAGTTTCTGATATCACATTGGAAACTGATGTAGGCACCAGTGTCATACAGTTTATTATCCCAGCAGGATGCAAGTTAGGCAGAAAGATCCACGCCATCAGGATCGCAGCCAGTGTTAGATTCCTTCTCGGCTGCCTTGGTACCTCACATGTAGATATGGATGCAGAGGTGGTTTCAGTTGTTCGTGTGGTCAGGATTGTAGCTGATACCTATCATCTCCATCTTTTCTTTGATGTTTACCGAAGTTAACATTAAAAAACTTCATCCTAACCAGCTAGCAGAGACGCATGAGCAGAGTTTACAAACTGGTGAGTTGATTTCTTCATTTGTGTGACTTGCAGCCAAATGCCACCACCGTTCAGTGCCAACCACAACAAGCACCACCAACACTTGCAAAATAGACATAGGAGCATAAGTTAAGCACTTATTTAGTGGAGCTGACAAAGAGGCAACTGAAAACATCCACACCTAAATCAGTTTTCTCCACTGCAAGAAGGCACTTTTGCTGTGGTTTGTTTGAAAGTGCCAAGGGGGGCAGAGACAAAAAATCATCCAAACTGCATATATTATTAATGACAATCTAATACATAATTGCAGTTTTTGAGGTATTTTTGCTGTCATATTCCTAATAACTTTAGAGAAATGAATGAATACCAAATAGTAAGAGAGTCTGTTTTTGGTGCTAAAATCTGAAACTAATTTCCAAAAGTCATATATTCGTGTTTTCAAGAAATAAGCAGCACTGATCTAAAGTAACTCCAGATACAACCACCAGCTAAAGACTGACAAATGAAAGCTGTTGGTGACCAAGATAGACTTGACAAACCTCAGGGCCGGCATCACCTCTTGGCCCGGTGGCTCCTGGTAATCCAACTCCTCCAGCAGGCCCTTTGCCGCCCTGAACTCCAGGAGCTCCAGCTTTTCCAGGTGGACCCTGAGGAATAAATACAACGTTCAAATAATTAAACTTTTCATCACCACATTCTTAAAGCAAGATATATCACTTTGTGATGCTAAAAACATTGTCAGAAGGAACACTTACAGCAGGACCTGGCAGTCCTAGCATGCCGGCCTCTCCTCTCGATCCAGGCGTACCCACGATTCCTCGCTGTCCTGCTGTGCCAGCAGGTCCTGGAGGCCCATCAGGCCCCTGACGGAGAAACACAAGACAAACACCTCGGGATTTATTTGTGTTCAGCACAGCCTAAAATGAATGCTACAGTGAACTCCAACCTGCACCTTACCGGAGGACCATCCTCTCCAGAGTCTCCCTTCTCTCCAGGGGTACCCGGTGCACCTGCATGTCCTCTCTCTCCTTGACGTCCTGGAGCTCCATTCTCTCCAACAATACCAGGAGTTCCTGGCTTTCCTGGAAGACCTATTGGCCCGTCTGCTCCAACAGCACCCTGAAACACACACGTAGTCTTCCCTCAGTACAGATTTTGGAAATACAAATGTGACTTAACAGCAAGTATGAAATTGAAACACTTAACCAAGTCTAATATATCGAATCGTCACCTCTGTATCGTGATATGTATCGTATCCATAAATTCTTGCCAATACACACCGCTAATGTAAATGGTTACTGAGTAGCAGGTGGCACCATATATGGTAGTCTCGGCCACCAGTGTGTAACTGTGTGTGAATGGGTGAATGTAACATGTTATGTAAAAGCACTTTGAGTGGTCACAAGACTAGAAAGAGCTATACAAGTGCAGTCCATTTACCAGGGCCTTGCTGGAGCAGCACGACGGTGAGTGTTAGCTTCTGGGCAAAAAAAAGGTAAGTCTCCTGCATGCATTTAACATTGGTAACTTTATGTCATATGTGACATCGTTGACCCAGGAGTAAATACATCACATTTATTTCACACTTGCCAGATCTGACAACTGCACAAAGGCACAAGCCCAGAGTTAACGTACCCCAGGCAAACGTTAAATGTTGAACCCCGACAATTTAGATATTAGAAGGCAGCTATACTAGCAAAATAATCACACAATCTCATGGCATATTTTGTCACAGTCCCATGATGATGGAGGCATTGTTATCATGAGGTTGAAAATTTTGATATATCGTTACATCTCTAGTAACCAAAAAACTCACAAGAGCTCCAGTTGGTCCAACTCCTCCTGGCAACCCAGGGAAACCAGGAGCACCCTGTGGGAAGACAACAGAGGAAGAAAGATTCACTTTAATTATAAAAATGATAACACCTGAGTACTTATTGCATGTTAGAAAGCACAACAACACTGTTAAAACACCAAAGGCTTTGAACATGTAAAAATATTGAGCCTAATTCACCGTTGCGCCCTGTGTTCCTCTGCCACCTTTCAGTCCAGTCACACCAACAGGTCCCTAAAAACACACATCAATAGCAGTGTAAGTGGAGTGATTAACTGTAGTTAGGTGACTTGTTTGACATTTTTCCCACTGTAGTTAACTGAGTGTACCTGTCCTCCTGGTTTCCCAGCCATCCCCTGTGGTCCAGGTGCTCCTCCCTCTCCCTTCAGACCTGTCTCACCCACTTCACCTTTGACTCCAGGCTGACCATCGGGACCCTGGGAAACAAACAGGATGTTTTTCGTTAAGCATTAATGATTTAATTGTTGGTATATATTGAACATATCCGCCCTGTGTTAACTTTAACTTTAGCAGCCACTTACAGCAGGTCCAGGGAAGCCGACAGCACCAGTTGGACCATGCTCACCTGTTGAACCCTGTTAACATCACCACACACACACACACACACACACACACACACACACACACACATACACACACTTTATCAGGAAGGAGTAGACATATAGCCATTCAAGGGCAATGTCACTTTAATTTAACTTCTGTTGTAAAATAAAATGTTGTACTGACAGGAGTTCCTCTAGTGCCTCTGCGTCCTGTAGGTCCTGGTGGGCCGGGTTCACCCTGAAATAAAGGGAAGGTCAAGTGAGTCAAATGAATTCCTTTAGGTTTTCATTTTATCTAAACCTGGAATGATGCAGAACTTTACAGGTTTAAGTTTTCAAAGTTAGCGTCTGGTTTATGTGCAGGCCACATATCCAGTGCTCATTAAAGTCTACAGTTGGTATCTTCTATTGAAAAACAAAAAAAAAGACATGTCTGCTGAAACTGTCACTATATGCTGACAATAGTACATGAGACATGCTCGTACAAACAAATCATGGTTTACTGTCAGGATATAGGGGCAGTTTCAGTAAAAAATATGTTTTTTTGTTGTTGTTGTTTTTTATAAAAGTTACCTTCACAATACTGAATCAGCCCTATTAAGAATAACAAATGACCTCTTCCTAGCTGCTGACTCAGTAACTGCTCCGTCCTCTTGTTCCTCCTCTAACTGCAGCCTTTGACGCTGTAGATCACGCCATTCTCAAACACAGATTAATGGAATGGGTGGGGGTCTTTAAACTGGTTCTCTTCATATTTATCCAACAGATCGTTCTTTGTCTCTATGAGTAACTCATTTTCTTCCTTAGTTCCCATCTACTATGGGGAACCCCAAGGTTTCATACTTGGCCCAATCCTCTTCTCCATTTATTTACTTTAATTATGCAGATGACATGCAGGCCTACATCCCCTTAGAGCCAAACAACATCAACAGACTAGTCCAAAATGCAGTTGCAAGAGTTTAACAAGGTCAACAAAGAAGGAGCACATTACCCCCATTCTTACCTTCCTACACTGGCTGCCTGTTGACTACAGGATACATTTTAAGATTCTGATGTTTGTCTACAAAGTGTTAAATGGCCTCACCCCTCTTACATCATAGAGCTCCTCTCCTCATATCACTCTGTAAGAGAGCTGAGATTGTTTGACCAATCTGTCCCGAGATCCAGGACTAAGTGTTATGGGGACAGGGCTTTCTCTATCGCTGCCCCGAAACTCTGGAATTCTCTTCCTCACACCATCCAATTCAAGTCAAGGTCAAGTCAATAAAGTTGACTTGACCTACTGTACCTTTAAATTGAATTCAAAAGTGGACTTATTTAAACAGCAGTCATTTTGAACTGAAAATTGAAAACAGTTACTCCCTCCATCCTGTTGTTCTGCACCAAGATTCTCATTATTGTTTACTTTTACCCTCATTTAGAACTTTCTTAATTCTGTATCTATGACTCAACATCAGTCAAACATTGTAATTTTTGCGTAATTGTTGATATATTTTTTTTCTTTTCTGAAACATAATAATTTGGCTAATTATACAAACATTTCTAGGCTTAAAAATTCATGCTAAAATTGTGGTTTTGGGCTCACCTTCTCTCCATTAGGTCCACTGGAACCAGTAGGTCCAACAGGACCAGGAAGCCCCTTTTAATAGAATTTTCAAAAAATATTAGAATATCATATAAGACAAAATAAAACTCAGTTGTACATGACTATCAGCAGCTAGTGACCGAAAAGTGAATATGTTTAGTCTTTGTGCCATCAGGTAAAATATTTTGCCACAAACGTCATATAGTTCACGACTCACCCGTGCACCGTCAGCTCCAGCTTTGCCCTCGTTCCCAGGTTCTCCAACTGCACCCTGTTAGAAGAAATCACCTTTGTCAGTGGCTTAATTTCCTTCAACAACCTGCTGACATCAGTAGCGGATATTTTGTTTGACTGACGGTTATGTTCGAGGAGAAATTAGTATCTCTGGCTCTTTGCAGATGATCCTATCTTTTACTTACTGCATCTCCCTTCGGGCCTGAAGGTCCTGGTGTACCTCTCTCTCCTGGCATTCCCTGAAGTCCTGGACCTCCTGGCTCTCCAAGAGAACCCGTTGGACCAATGCTACCCTAAAAGGGACACAGTAAGGCTCAGTGTAAACAAGATCTACATGCAACAAATTAAAATATTATGCGAGGTTTTGGTACTTAGTGTCTCTGCATGAGTGATTTCATGGTTACAGTACCTTTGGCCCATCTGGTCCTGGTCCACCTGGACTACCTTTAGGTCCCTGCAGCCCATTGGGCCCGATTTCACCTCTCTCTCCTGGAGGCCCTCTTTCTCCCTGCAAGGACAAACAAAGGATAAACGCAACACCTCTTAATTGCAAAAAATAATTAAATGTATTGACTTGTGGCTGACTGATTTAAATATGAACAGTAATGGACTTACTCTTGGACCTGTAGCTCCACCAGCCCCAGCCTCTCCAGCAAGACCCTGGAAAAAAAACATATTCTGCTTGTTGTGGTATGATAAGAAAAACATCTTAGTATGTTGAGGACTTATTATTGTACAATATATAACTTAAGGCTGAATTAAAAATAATTAAATTTGTCATACCTCATCACCTGGTTTTCCTGGCTCTCCAGGTGGTCCTGGAGTTCCGGGCAAACCCTAAAGAATTCAATTTATATTTAATGCAAATAACAATAATGAACAAGAATGACATCAATACACTGAAATAAACATATATTCTTATAACTATGGGGTGCAGTGTACCTGGAAACCATGCAGTCCCTGTGGTCCCTGCTCTCCTCTCTTTCCTGCAGGACCCTGGAGAAAAGCAAACAGAATATAAATTCATCTAAACATCGTGTCATCAAATCACTGATGATGAGATTGTGTCAACAGTTAGATGCTTACAGCGGGGCCGGCTGGACCAGCAGCGCCCTCCTCTCCGTCTTTTCCATGCACACCCTAGAAGACAGACAGTATCTATCAGTATAGCTGCAGGTATATTTGTATGGATGTGTGCATGTATGATGTATAAATGATATCAATAGAGAAAATGACTTGCCCTTTGACCTGGAGGCCCGGAGCTGCCAGCCTCTCCAATCTTTCCAGCATCACCCTAAAAATCAGGAACCACATTAGTCATCTGTTGCTGCACAGAATATATAATTAAAATGATTCAAATACATAAATACTGACAGCAAAGCCTTTTGGTCCTGGCAGACCCATCGGTCCACCTGCACCTCGGTTTCCAGTAGAACCAGATGGGCCTGGTTTACCATCATCTCCTGCTGAGCCCTGGAAAGACCGCAAGAACATTAATACGTGCAATCTACCAAGAATGATTCCTTATTTGGTTGTTTTAGGGAAATTAAAATGAGTCATGAAAATAAAAAAGTTTTGTGTACTTGTGGTCCTTGCTTTCCCTCTGATCCCTGGGCACCAATAAGTCCTGTCAGACCCTGTGAAATAAGATGCACAGTTACAGAACAACCTTCAATACCTGTCTCTAGAGCTGCATCTTCTCAAAATAAATATTCTCTAAATATCTTACAGGAACACTAACAGATGCTCTGTCTCTAGATCGGGGGTGTCAATCTCATTTCATTCCATGGGCCAGCTCCAATATCTTCTACCCTTTTTTTGAGTAAAGAATTGTATTCTGTAGACGTTCATGTGCATCTATCCATGCATTTCCTGATACATTTTCTTTTGAACTGAAGCTGCTGACTGACAGGATTGGCTGGATAGACCCTTTGGTGTGTCGGTCTGGCCCACAGGCTGTATGTTTGACACCCCTGCTCTATATAGACAATGGTACTTCTGACATTTACCATTTAATTTCAAGCTGGTATTATGTGGTTTGGGACCTGTTTGGACAGGTTACTTTAAAGTTTTGGGGAATCTTGAAATAAACAAAATATTGTATGTCCCTACTTACCAAAATTTACCCAGTTATGAGTGACACAAAATTTCTTTAAGTGCACAGTAGTGCATTATAATTCGTCATAGGTGTTAACTCATTTTAATTGAAAGAATAGCCATTTTCAACTGTTGACAGTCTTCACAGGAAAACCTAAAAGGCTTCTCCTTATTTTCTATCATATAAAATACCGTTTCAGATTTCACATGTTAAAAATGTAAAAATGTAAAATAAAGTGTAGCCAAAGTTTCAAATAGTGAGGTAAATGTATGTAAAAGTAATCCTTGTTACCAAAAACCTCATGCTTCAGACCATTCTGAATATTCTGTATCCAAGTGTTTTTTCTACTTTCAAGACAAAATGATCATAACTCTTGGGAGATTTCTTTGTGGTCATCTGTTCTAGGTACACGGCTGATAGTGCTTGTAATCTACATGCTACATGCGTACATCAGAGAAACATGAAAACGTGGTTAATATCTCCCCCTGATTTTCATTGGGAGAAAGTGTATTGCTACATGTAGCTACATGCTAATGTGATGGAGACATGTAATCTTTAGTTGTTGATGTTAATTATTCTCAGATTTTGGATAATATTCCTGCTGGAACATGTCCGATTGTATTGATATGTTTTTATTGGTGATTTTTAACGGGAGATAGTGACGCTTTACACAGTCACTTCCCAGCTGCCCTGGTATATGTAGGCATATGCTAACATTAGGGAAACGCACTGCTGCTATTGTCTATTAAAGTCATTTCTGCGGCTGCAATGACAGGGCAGAGACACAGAGTTGTGGAAGATCCAGAAATGCTGACCAATCAGAGAAGACTGGGCTTTTTTGGGAGGGGGGGGGTTTATAGAGACAAGTGCTTATTTCAAGTATTTCAGGCAGAGGGTGAATACAGGTGTTTCAGCAAAGACAGTAAAAGGAAAATAAAGTGTTTCTTTTCACATTAAAGCATGTTAACATGTTCTAGTAGAAAACCAAAATTACAAGTTTGTCCTGACAGTGAACACGAGGTCCCCTCTAAAGAGTAACTTAACACCAGGTTGAAAAGCAGCATTTCACTGCCCTTTCTGCTTGCAAGCTTTGAACCTGTAACCACACCTGACAGTGATGTCACAGTGTACTGACACATCCTGGTGTACACCTCTACATCACTGGAGCAGGGTGAAAAGTTAAACCACTTGAGGTCAACAAATACAAGATTTTCTGCCTGTGTGAAGTTGCTCTAACTGCCTTTTGTGGGTAGTTTTTTACTATATAAGAGTAAAGTGATGAATAAATGCTGTAATAATGTGTGCCGTGTGTGCTTTACCCGAGCTCCTGTTAAACCTGACTCTCCATTACGTCCTATATCTCCATCTAAACCTTTGGCACCAGGTAACCCTGGCAGTCCTCGTTCACCCTGGGCTCCCTGTTTGGTTCAAAGATACACAAAAAAACATGTCATGGTCGAGAATAATCACAATTAAGGACAGTTATGCTCCGGCATTATGTGTATTTTGATGTGAAGTCAACTCACCTTAGGGCCTGGCAAACCATCTGCACCTGGGAAACCTCTATTTCCGGGGGCTCCCTAAAACAAATTGAGTATCCATTACATTTCAGGCCCTGAAGTCATGAAAAGGACTCTCTGTAGAAGTTTTGTTTTTAAAAGATGAAGTAAAAGTTGACTCACTGTCTCTCCTGGAGGTCCTGGTGGCCCGATAGATCCACCATCACCTCTGGGTCCACGCTTTCCGTCCTCTCCCATTGGGCCCAGTGGACCTGGAATACCATGGTCTCCCTAACCCAGCAATCAATAATCAGTCAAACAGTCTCCTCCAATTAACTTTCATCGTTTTTAACTTTTATTTTTTGGATGATAAAGGGTGTTTTAGCTTACTCTTTCTCCCTTGGCTCCAGCTTCTCCTTTGAATCCAGGCACTCCAACTTCACCCTGTAAAACACCATCAGATAAACTGGAGATCAAGACATTAAAGCTCCCAGTGCATTCAGTTTTATAAGCTACAAAGTTACAGAGGTGGAAATGGAGTCATGCTAAAGGGTGAGGAAGGTTACCAGTTGGCCCTTTGGTCCTGGTGCTCCTGTAGTTCCCTGAGGGCCAGGGGGACCAGATGGACCCAACAGCCCTGATGGACCCTGGACACCTGCAATACCCTGAGGAGGAGAAGAAGCAGATATCACAAAAGATTCACGGACAAGTGCTAAAAATGGTTCACAGAGTTTGTAGATACTTACAGCTTGGCCGCGAGCACCTGGAATTCCATCAGGTCCTTCAGCACCCTGTTAAAAACATTTTTTTTACTTGTTATGTTAATCCAAAGGTGAATAAAGTCCAACAGGATGTGCTCACTTTCCCAGGAATACCCAAAACTAAATCAGATTGATGAAGCTGTAACAAACCTGCTTTCCTGTTGGTCCAGCTGGTCCTACGTGACCGGCGTCCCCTCTGGGTCCCTGTTGTCCTGGACTTCCTCTGACACCTGTCGGTCCTGCTTCACCCTGCACCAGAGGACAGACTTAGGTCAAATTTGAGGACTTTTTAAAAATTCTTTTATTAAAATTTTGGGGTCAGATTTTGGCAGTGGTTGAAGTGCTAAGATCTTTTACTGAAGTACAAGTATCAATACTACAGTGTAAAACTACTCTATTACAAGTAGGGCTGTGTATTGGCAAGTTAGCAATATGATATGCGTCACGATACACGGGTTACAATTCAATATATCACGATATATTGTGATACTGTAGGCAAGGTGACATATTCCAATTTTTAATCTCATTTTAGGGAATCTGTCATAGTGTAAAGAACATAAACATCTGCATAAAAAGTTAACTTTTGCCAATATTAGTAAAAATAGAATAAAAATGCTTGCAGGATTCTTAAGGCAAACAAACTAAGAAAATAAAAAAAATCGATACAGTGCTTCTGAGAATTGATACAGTATTACCAAATTCAATATTGAAATACTCAGGTGTATCGATATTTTCTTACAACCCTTGTGACAAGTGAAAGTCCCGCATTCAAAATTTCCCTTAAGTGAAAATACAAACGTATAAGCATCAAAATATACCTGAAGTACCACAAGTACAAGTACTCATTATGTAGAATGGCCTATCTCAGAATAAAATAAAAGCTGGAAATGAGTTAGCGTTTTAGCACTCTTGGTTCCCTTGTCTCAAAGTCAATCAGTTTTTTTGAGTGGATTTTTGGTTAGATGCCTGGAATAAGGTCTGTGGTTAACACATACTTAAGAGACTTTCACTTTGTGTGATTTATATTGAAGAAATCAGTGTGACATTAACATCTGGATCAGCCTGCAGAAAAAAGGTCATCCCTGCAGCACTCTGTGTTCATCCCTCGAAAATTGCAGCTGTTAAAGGTGGAGCTAATTCAGCTTACTTTATATACCACAGGGTATGTTATCCTAAAATATTACATCATATTTTATTAGTTGATCTATTCTTATTATTATCATTTTGTATTAATAATCTAAACCTGCTAAAAGTAACGAGTTACTAAAGCTATCCAGTAAATGTAGTGGAATAAAAAGTGCAATATTGGCCTCTGAAATGTGTAGAAGTAGAAAGTTGTATAAAACTGTACATTAGTACAGTACTTGAGTAAATGTACTTAGATTCTACCACTGTCATTTTCTCTAATTACACAGTTATCTGTTTTAGCTTTCATCCAGCAGTGTTGTATTGTGAGATAAAATGAACTGAGGTTATGGTCAATGTGTGTTTTTGTTACCTAACAGTCTGCCAATATAGACAATTTGCTACATGACAATAAATAATTTCACAGCAAGATAATGGAAATAAAAACGGATTAATGTTGTAGAAAACTTCCCAAATCTTTAATTATAATATTATGACATAAAACTGTTCAGTCTCACCTTCATTCCTGGGTTACCGGGAAAACCTGCCACTCCAAGGATTCCCATTGGACCCTGTGATTAAATAAAAAAATTGTCAAATATTCAAAACAAAGCTTACTGGGATTTTGGGTTTATTATAGGGTTCAAGTTCACAATTTGCATTTGATTTGACTCAATTAAGTTGATAAATGTGGTCCTTACCAGAGGACCTGGTTTGCCAACATGGCCAGCTGCACCCCGTTTTCCCTACAACAGAAAGAAAACACCTCAATCATGCATCACCGTTTTATATTTTAACACTTTTTCCAACTGAATAAAGACATTTTGTTTCTCTTACCACAGGACCAGTTGGTCCGGCTCTGCCTCTTTCTCCCTGCATGCCCGCTGGTCCCTGAAACAAAACACCTGCTCAGCATCTTTATCATCAACACCTGACTCTGTGTGAAATGTTGTGATGATGAGTTTCCTACCTGTGGGCCTGGAGCACCCATTCCACCCGGAGTACCAGATTTACCCTACAGAGCACAAAGACATAACCCATGTTAAAACTGCATTATGTGTGTCTGTGTGATGTTATATCTGATGTTGAAGCATGAAGGGGGGAGACAGAGCGAGTATGACATGCAGCAAAGGGCTGCAGGCTGAAACTGAGCCTGTGGCCACTGCGGCAAGGACATTGCCTTCGTATACAGGATGCCTGCTCTACCCACTACGCCCCTGGGTGCCTTTCTTAAATGTATTTTTCTCTTTTTCTCTGTCTTTTTTTGGGAGTTTATATTGTCATGTCATCATGTCAGCATATGTATTGTGTATTATGTGCCTGTATTTAAGAACAAAAAGTTAGTGGTTCTATATAGGGTCATATGTTGGTTAAATTATTTATTTATTACTTATTTTGGGACATTTCATAAAACATTACAGAAAAGGGGTTACAGAATGTCTTTAAAGTGTTCGAGGAAGAGGATGAAGAAGAAGATATACTTTATCAATCCCCAAAGGAAAATTCAAAATTTTCTCTCTGTTGTCATATACACATAGGCCCGTAATACACACACATGAAGAAACAGAAGGTGAACTGGCACCTCTCTAGCTATCAGTGACCCTCTGGTTCCCAAAAGACCCTATGGACTGAGCTACTGCCACCCTAAATATGTCTGTGGTGAGTATGGGGGTCAGACCCGTGACCTTGGCATTATTAACCAGCTGAGCTAACCCATCTAATGACTTCAACCCGTCAAGAATTTTCTCTGTCTGTATTTGGTCCGTATGGGGACTTAAGCTGGCAACCTTCCGGTTCCCAACCCAAGTCCCTATGGACTGAGCTACTGCCATCCAAAAAACTTGTACATGCTAAATATTTCTAAGGTCAGTAGAGTTATAATGATCTTAATATATCTATAATATGATACAGTTGTACACTTTGGGAACCACAAGATGAGACAAAGCAAATTCACACCTTGGTTCCAACCGCTCCAGTCTCACCTCTTGGCCCAACAAGACCAGACATTCCCTGTTGGAGAGATTTAAAGTCACAAACAGGAGGTAAGTTCTTGATGTTTCTTACATAAAAGCCTGAAAAATAATCATTAAAAGTGAGGAGCGATGATAGCATGGAATGACTTTTGATTGTGCAGTGCAGGGATGCACCCATGGGACTTTTTCAGTCCCCATATTGGTACCTGAGCTTTGGGTATCGGCCGATACCGAGTATAGATCCCATGCTTGTTTTGAATTAATAAGCTGTACCTCAAAGTGTGAAAGTGCCAATTCTTTTATGTGTAAGTCAACATCAGGCTAGACTTAAAACATTTCTGTCCTAACTTTGCAGAAAGAAATTCTAACAAATACATTTTTTTTAGATTTAGATTTACTGAAGTTTTATTATTATTAAAAAAGTAAACCATGCACCAGCAACCACATATTGCGAGTGCAAAATACCTCCAAACATCCAACATTTTTGTTGTTAGCATGACGTAGTACGCACTTGTGTAATCAGACATAAACTTAGAAATGAATTGAATAGAACAGCCTCGTTGTCACCAATACTGTATCCAGCTATTAGAGTCAGTATTGGCCTGATATCCGACATCACCACTAAATCGTTGCATCCCTAATGGCAATGTTTGTGTGACTTACCTTGTGACCTTTCAGTCCTGGATGACCTGGAAGTCCTGGGAATCCTCTTGCACCCTGCATTTAAATAAAGAATCAACAAACACACTAAGCAGAGGAAGAAGTTTATGTCTACAGATTGTGATCACCGTTTATAGGTTCTATTTTAAATGAAGTGTATACTGAATTAAGTGCGTCTCCTAACATTCTTCTGGGCTTGACTGTGCTACTTGGTCATGATAAACGGTATTGTAATTCATGCAATTTTAGTGTGAATGCTGAGGGGAACAGGTTACCACAGATCCTGGAAATCCTGGCTCTCCTGGAGCGCCTGCAGGTCCAGGTTCTCCCTGTGCAGTAAAAGTAAAATAACAGTGTTTAAAAATGATCATTGCTTTTAAATAATTAACAACATATCATAAACTGTTGTGTAGGTTCGACTCACATCAGGTCCAGCTTTTCCTGGTGGCCCGTCTGGTCCGCGGTGACCCGGCTCACCCTGCAAAGAAACACAAGAAACTATCATTACTGACACACATTTCACAAAAATCAAAAATGAAGAAGCAGAAATGTTTCTACCATTTGTCCTGTTTCTCCAGCCTCTCCTGGAATTCCCTGACCACCACTTGGGCCCTGAGGAGAGGAGGTAATGACAGTCACTTCTGATGCCAGGATACAACATTACTATGTTCCTACCTCAAGTCTTGTGACAACATATCATCAAAATTAAGCCTTTAAATCTTTGATAGGAAGCCAAAACTCACCTGTGGCCCAGGCTGTCCTGGAGGTCCTCGTGGTCCTGCCTCACCCTGAAAAAGCAACATTTCATACACTGTGATTTAAACATTATGGCAAACGTACTAACTTTGTATATATGAAACTTTAATTTACTGTTTTTTTTCCCCTGTGCAGCACTCACCCTTGATCCTGATACCATCCCAGCCATACTAGACTTCTCACCAAAACCTGCAGACATCTGTGACACCAGGTTGCCCTTTTGGGAAGTAAATTATTCAAAAGAAATGTTCAAACCGCTGCAGAGGAGTCATTTCATTATCTGTTCAATGTGCAGATTCTGGGAAAAACTCACCCCAGGGTGTGAGGGTTGTCCTGGGGCTCCAGGCTCTCCTGGATTTCCTGGCACACCGGGCTCCCCATCAAATCCTGGAGGCCCTGGGAATCCCTGCAGGGTGTGTGGTGAAATATGATTAATGAGAGGGAGAGATGAACCACTGGAGTGAAGTGTATGTATTAAGCATCATGAATATAGTAAGTGCAGGACATGCACCGTGGAAAAGCAAAAAAACAAAACAAAAACAGAATGAGTGCCTAGAAAAGCACTATAGAAGTTCAATGTATTATTATTATTATTATTACTATAAAATAAAACACGTTTAACCCCACTGACAGACCATCTTCCTACACTTACAGAGGGTTTTCTGTGTGTTGACAGCAATCTTAAGTTGCATGCAATAAGCAGAAATTTACAGACCACAACAAAGATAAAACCCACAGTTTGAGCCGTGCAAAGGCAAATTGTTGGCTGTTGCCATGAGCAGATTAGCCTGTAGATTTACTGCATCTAAAATATTCATTCAGATTTACCCGTCTGCCTTTAAAGCCTCTTGGTCCGGTGTGTCCCTGAGCTCCTGGAGGACCCTGAATCATAAACACAAGAGATTTTAATCAATGAGAATTGCTGTATACAACTATAAACGTCTCTTAGAAGTGTACAACATTATATTACAGTCATGATAATAGCTTTCAAAAATATCAATTGTCAGAATTTTGTATACACAGTTTCTGTCTTTGTCCTTCCTAGAAAGCTGGTTGGCAAACCATCCTGCCGTTGTCAGAATCAGAATCAGGTTTATTTCCAAGTAAGTTTTCATATACAAGGAATTGGCTTTAATGAATTGGTGCATAACATTAACACAGTCAGAGAAAATGAAATAATTAAAAAAAAATGTATATAGCAAAAATCAAGAGGCATAAAGTTTATGAAGTTATTATAAAAGTTTGAAAAATACTTTGAAAAATTGTATTATGTATCTGAATTAAAATGCAAGAGTTTTGCAGTTTTTCCTTGGGCAAACATTATCAAGTATAAATGATGATGACTGTTGACTCTGTGATGATTTTATGCCTAGTTTTTTAACTACAGTATGATTGTGTCTATTTTATTAACTTATTAATGTATGTTACTGAATTGTTTGATTTTAATGATCTATGGATACATTGCTTCCTGTTTTTTAACCATCATATAAGGTGTCCTTGAGTGTTTTGAAAGGCTCCTATAAATACATTTAATTATTATAATAAGAAGAATGTTCACTAATAATAATATATTTTATTGCACTTTATCAACACCCTTCAGCTTTCCACAGGTTGTTCTCCAGTCATGAATACTATTATGACATTCTAGTGCCCTCTAGTGTCAAAATTAGTGCATGGAGATTATTATTTGGGAGATCATTTTGAAAAACATCTATTTCAGGGATACTCACTTGTGTTGCCTGGGGGCCACTTTGGTAAAATGACAGGAGGCCAGGGTCCAGTTAATAAACAAACAAATAATTAATATAAATAAGTAACCTGGACCTCTGTCAGGGGGTCTGAGGGGATCCTTCCCTGGTACTTGATGCATTTTTATGAACTCTGGCACCTTATTAACATTCAAAGTACAAAACAATATGTCCCAGTGTGAATCTTTTTATTTATATTGTGAATTTAAAAATGGTCAGCAGGCCATCTGGCACCCTATTGCCAGCCAGATTTGGCCCTTTGTATCACTGCTCAATTCTAATTTATTTCTTTTACCCTATATTCCACACATACCTATAAATTCTCAAAATATACTGTACACTTTGACATACAGTAATAGATAATGCAGTAAAAACTCACCTGGGGTCCTGAAGGTCCAGGGAGCCCCACCACCTGGAAAAAACAAACAAACAAAAAAAAAAACAGTCTTTGTAGTGACTTTGTTGGCAAAACACACAAAAAATTTAGTACTTTTTTATTCATCTGAAGTTGAAATATAATTAAAAAAATAAATAAAAATAAAACTGCAAATACGTTGTTTATGTTGCGAAATTACTTACATAAGGGATATCACCTGGTTCACCTTTCTGTCCCTATAAAGGAAACATATCAACAATTTGTTTTCATTTGAAGAACTAATGTTTCTATATTTGTTTTAGATATTAATACATGTTTGTTAGAATGAACCATGACTTACCTTGAATCCCATAATTTCTGAAGGAAAACAAACAAAAATGAAAATTAAAGACATTTATACTTCAACTTATCTGCATCGTGGTATACCTTCCTAAACCTGAATGATTTATGTATGTATTTATGTGTATCCTTAACATCTATACACATACATCTTTATTTACCCACATCCCCACATGTATGCAAATTACATAGCTTTGTGTTTAGCTATGTTACATATGCCCATCACATACTGCTAAAAGCTTGATCCATTTATTCCAAATTTGATAGAATTTGTCTTTTTGGATCCTTAAAAGGTTTTCTAAGTTATTCCACACCAATCTTCCAATGCACTCTATGATTAAGGGTAATGTAACGCCCCTTGAAAATCTTACGGACTTTCAATGGGTCTAACCTGCGGCAGTGATGTAAAAGTGTACCCCAAGCGGTGTCAGCACACAGTGGCATCACTGCTTTACAGTAAATTACTGTAATAACAGGCTAACTCTTCTCACCTATCATCCTGCTGGCACTGGCAAAGGTGTCGCACACAGGACAGCACTCCCCCTCAGGTGTGACGACCTTCTCGCAGTTTGGCAGCAGCTCACACTGCACCTCGTCACAGATGGAGACACCGTTGTCACAAACACACACGCGACAAGGCTCTGGTTTCCAGATGTCGTTGTGCTTGTAAACCTCCCCATCGACCGTGCAGCTGTCCCCTTTTTTCTCATCTGCAGCTGCAAAAGACATATTTTTTAAAAGTAGCGGCATACTAACCTCTCAATAATGTAACAAGAAATATTATTTACCGGTTGTGGGGTCTGCACTTGGAAGTGATGTTGTGTCTGCACTCAAGCATACAGGGCAACACTCGCCCTCTGGGGTCACAGTGTCCTTGCAGTTGCCGAGGTCCTCACAAACCACATTTTCACACACAGCAGTCCCCTTATCGCACACACAGATCCGACACGGCTCAGGGTTCCACATGTCATTGTGAGCATAGACTATTCCATTTTCTGTGCAGGTATCTTCATGAAACAGAAACATAAAAGAGTTAAATTAATGACCATGTAACCTGAAATCCGACCTGATAGCTCAACATTTTTTGCTTTTTCACTTCTTTGCCAAGAGCTTTGAGAAAAATGATGCCAAATGATGTCTATATGTTAGATATGAAGTTACCAGGGTCAAGACTAAACATGAAGAAGCAGGGTTTGGTTTTTGACAGCAGGTCTGCTACAACTCTCAGATCTTTTAAATTAAGGCTGAAGACTTTTCTGTTTGCTGTAACCTTTATTCTTGTATTTTATACCTGTCTTAGTATATTTTAGCTTGTTTTCATTTTCTATTGTTATAAAATTGCTCATTATTGACGTATTCAATTTTATCTTAATGTCCTTTTGTAATAGCCTATGTTTGTTGTCTCAAAGCTTTTAGCGTTTTTTGCAAAGCAGTTTGAATTTCCTTGTTGCCGAAATGTGCTATATAAATAAAATTGCCATGCCTTACCAGGGAGGCCAGTTAGCTTGAGCTTTAGAGGTGCTGGTAGGCAGATTTTGTTATCTTTGGATAGAACCAGGCTAGCTGTCTCCGCCTGCTTCCAATCTTAATACTAAACTAAGCTAAGCTAAGCTGAGCTAAGCTAAACTAAGCTAAACTAAGCGACCCACTACATTTAGCATAACGACATTGGAGTGGCATTTATTTTCTCATCCAATTCTTGGGAAAAAAGTGTGTAAGCATATATGCCAAAATGTCAAACTTTTTCTTCATAGACCAAATCTTAAATTCTGACTCTAACATGCTTGATTTTCACACTAACAATTACCCTAAAATCCTGTTGTCAAAGCCCCTATGTGTAGATTTATTTGTTATTTAAGCATCCTCCAAATTATTCTGCACAAGTTTTTGCTTATAGAAAACTGAGACAATCCTGGCACAGCCTACTCATCTCATTGTCCCTAGGGGTGTCAAGGAGTCTGCAAAGTCACATATTGTAAAATTCTACTCATAGGGGCTTTAAAAACTGCATCTTTAAAAAAAAAAGAAAATCATTTAAATATTTTACACTTTAATTGGTGCTTAAATAGAAAGCAACTCACAATAAGCAAAAAGACTAATAAATGCGGCAACTATCATCATCAAAAGTGCATACAAAGCGCAATCAACAACATGGTATGGATCATGGCAAGGGAGGCAGTAATTTCCCAGAGGAATACACCTTATTTGGTAAATAAGCTACTTGCACAACTTCCTCTTGTGTAGCAGTAGATTGTCACCAGCATTTTGCTGCACAAAGGTAGGTTGAGAAGTGATCTTATCTGGCAAAAAGTCAATGTATTCCTTTTGCAAAGTGACAGTACAGTCAAAGGGAAACTCCAAACACAATAATGTAGAATTAAAAAGAACATTTCGAGGTTGTGTGCACAGGATGGAGCCTGAAGAGGAGGGCTTCAGGCTTGGAGACAAAGAGCAGCAGCAGTCCTGACACAGATGGAAACATTATCCAACTGCTGAAGTTGCGTGAAGTCAACACAAACTGCAGGAACATAACCAGGATGCATCTGCAGAACACACAGATGTGCAGGTGACATTCCAGTTTACCAGTGTCTGTGTCAGGCCGCGTTGCCGCAGCCAAACACACAGGGCAGCACTCGCCCTCTGGGGTCTCTTTGGTCTCGCAGTCACCTACATCCTCACACACCACGTCCTCACAAAACACCGTCCCCATATCACATATACAGATTTGACATGGCTCGGGGTTCCATATCTGATTGTTGGAGTAGACTTTGCCGTCCTCTGTGCAGGAATCTTTGTGAAATAAAAACAGCAACTGACATCAGTACCTGGGGTTTATGTTTGTCAGCTAGTTGGTGTACATCATCATGCATGCTAGTTATAGGTTTTCAGTCTCGGTTTACTCAACTGTTCCTGTTCTGGAAAAACCCAATGCTAAGTTGAAGCATGACTTAACCCAGCTTTAGTGAATGATACATTGAGAGTTTATAAGCTTACATGCAATGCACACCTAAACTTCTCGACCTTATATGCATCGCTAAGCTAGTTTAGCTTCTCAAAACCACTGAGGTGATTTTAGCATGATCTTTATGCTGTTGAACCATCGTAGATATTATTTTTATGAGCATCTGTAAATAACAAATGGTGATAACTGAGCATACTAACGACTAAATTGTCAAGTCATAAGCTCTAATTTACAAGTTACATGTAATAGAATTACAAAATTAATGTAACAAATCAGTTACTGAGAAAAAATAAATAATTAAATTACAGTTACTAATCAAAATGTTGGTGATTACAAAGGGGTTACATCAAAATATATTCTTTTGAGTAAGCTTATATGTAGAAGAAAAAATGATGAATCATTTCTTAGAAAAATAATCATATGTAAAAAGTTGCATTACTTTGATGAATACATTAAAATAGTTCCATTGCTTATTACATTTTTAACAGGGTAACCAGTGATCTGTAAATGATTACATTTCAAGAGTTCCCAACACTGAAAGCAATAGTAACAAACATCAACACACTCCCATTTCGTCAAATACAGACCCTTGGTCAGTGGCCCTACGCATCAAACTATGATGCTTTAGGTACCATTAAGCATTGTAGTTTGATGCGTAGGACCATGTAGGGCATCTAATAATAACACAGCCTGGTGCATCTCATATAGACGCTAAAGGACGCTTTGGTTTGTCTATATCTGAAGCCTGGTATTAGACGATCTGGGAGTGAGAATGCCCTACAACTAAATAATTTGTCTATTAACAGTGGGTATTCATTACTTGATTTCAGTGAGAATAGCTTAATATATCGGCAAAATATTGGAAATACTCATGTCAATCTTATTAAAACAGCACCACAGTAGAGATTCAAAGGAATGTAAGAGTCAAAAAGAAAATAAAGGCATAAAAACTAAAAAACACAAAAATGATGAAGAAATGGATGGACTTTTGGGCACTGTTGGTTTTTGACAAACAAGAAAAACTATGACAAGTGATAGAGAGGGATTCAAAAGAGGTGAAAACATTCATACCAAAAGAGATGTACCTGGAATTCATCATCTTTATTTCACAGTAAAAATGATCACCTCTTCTATAGTAATCATTCCAGAAAATATAAATGTCTCTATTTTTCAACCACATAAAAATCCACAAAATACAATATAAATACGATGTGGATATTTATGGAATATACAGACCCACATTTAAATCTGCTCAGGTTTGTAATGGTTCTTAAATATTTATTACCAGTTTTATTGTCCATGCACACAGGGCAACACTCGCCCTCTGGGGCCTCAGTTGTTTGGCAATGATTTAGCTCTTCGCACACCACTTCCTCACACACCACAGTCCCCGTGTCGCAAATACAGATCTGACACGGCTCTGGGCTCCATATCTGATTGTGGGAGTACATCTTTCCATTTTCTGTGCAGGTATCTTCATGAGACAGAACAGTAATCAGTAGCGTGATTGATTCCCTTTCAGTTGGCAGTAAAGATAAAGTCTGTGCATCATTATGGGGTTTTCAATCATGAGACTGACAGCAAAATGTATGTGTGCAATTTTCCTCAGCTATATTGTGCTACTTATTGTATCTAACCTTCTGGAACATAAAGAATGTGATGTTCTGACCCAGCTAACTACCTGTCATGGAATATTGTTACAGTTACTTTAAAGGGTAAGTTTGGTATTTTCGAACCTGGACCACATTTTCCCATGTTTTTGTGTAACTAATGAGAACAACGGTTTTTGAAATTGGTCCAGTGTTGAACAAGACCACTACAGCTGTTAGCCATGAAACAGACTGCAATGTAATCCTTGGGGACAATTGAGCACTGTCAATTTACATCCACTAAACGCATGTGTTTTTACCATTGACTGGGTTAGATTGTTATTTTAATTGTCTGACGTCATTATGGAAAGGATCCCTACAGAGATATACCTTTTTGTTAAAGAGTAAGATCCTTTTTGTTTAACCACAGATGGTCCCAGAATCACCATCACCAAATCCACCAAACTCCATTTAAATAAACACCAATTTTGTCATCATAAAACACACTTCATTCAAAGTTGAAAGAAACAAAATAAAACTCACAAAAAATGTCTTGGTTTGTCCTCCTACCGTTCCAACAATCACCAATGCCGCTTTGGTTGAAATTAACTCTTAATTCACCAAGTTAGATGTGAAAACCTGCTGGTTCTATACATGCTAAAATGACTGTTTATTGAAATGGAGTCTGGCTTGTTTGGTGATGGCTATGTCGGGCTGTTTTCTGGTTAAACATGAGACTTCAGTTATGATTTACTGCACCAGTAGACAGGTGGTATTGCAGGGGAGTCTGGCACTAAACAGTGCTGGATGTATCGAGGCAGAAAATGTGTACCATTATTATCATCATACACGTAATCTAATACAAAGGAAGCAAAAAATGGCTACCTAGGAACTATCAAGAATTAAAACAACTAGTCCATACCCATTGGTAGCTTTGTCACCTTCTGCCTATGCCAATCCTCAATGCCTATGTGCAGTTTCACATAGATTGACCACGTCAGTGAGTAGAAAAACGTGGGACAGACAGAATGACTGACTGACAGAATGACACACTGACAGTTTCTGTGATTATGTACAACATAACAGAGTCCTGCACTGGGTCGGGTACCCGCGACAAAACAGCTGATTTGCGGGTGGTTTTTAAAAAAGCATTTTTTCCCGGGTTCGGATCTGGGTGGAAAAAATAATATGCGGGTCGGATCGCGGGTTTTAGATAAACACATCAGTCATTAGTTCGGTAAACTACAGATAACTATCTTGGTCATTATTTACTCTCTGAGGATCGCCTCCGCTATATCGCAACGGTCATTGGTTCAGCTGTTTACACGCGTTTCACCATCTAATAACACAATTTGTGATTGGACGACAGAATCAACATGACTGCCACCGTCAACAAGCGCCGCTTCCAAAACAGTAAATAATTATTTAGGTATTTGAGAAATAAGTGGATAAAACG